CAACATTATTAGTTGCAATGTTATTAATAAATGAGCATAAGCCTTTTTTTAATATATATTTCTTTCCTTTTCCTTCAATGACTACTTCACTCTCAAAAAAAGTTAACAATATATGTTCATAAATACCAATTACCACAATATTGGCCCTAAAACACCAGAAAATTTGACAAAATCAACAGCAATCAAAACACGAGCAGCAAAGACAACAATGCCTGCTTGTAGCACGTGCAAAGCCATGTGATCCAAAGCATTATTGTAATTGGATAATAATGACAGCTCAGAGGTGAACACACTAGAAGTTCAACAAGTAAATGAGCACATGCGCAGATGTAACCATGTGACTTGAACCATCACTGTAAGCAGGTGATAATAACAACTCAGACCTGAGCAGATTAGAACGTTCACGAAGTAAATGAGCACAGATGTTTGGCCTTATAGGTATCTTGATACATGTAAGTTGGGCTTACAAAAAATGCTTTTGTTGTAACTAAATACAGGGATCTTTTTATTAAAAAATAATAAATTTCTGTTGAAACACTGCACAAAAATTTTCAACAGTCATGTTGGGGTCACCCCCTCTGACTGTCACCCAGTGTGATCTGCACCCACACACACACTAGTGACAACACTGATACCAGCTTCCCAAATCATTTTGTCTCCTTCCTTCTCAGACATCCCCAGTTTCCATCTCATTCCTAAGAAAAACAGCATTAACACAGTGGAAGAACTCAGGATTAAACGGGAGCCTTCAGCAAGTGATGCACCCTTTCTATATATCTTGTTCCCCCAATCATAATACTTCTGTTGTTGGGTGAACCGAGTCAATTCTGACTCAGTGGCAGAGTAGAATTGCTCCCATAGAGTTTTCTTGGCTAGACAATGAATGAGGAAGACTGCAGAGAATGGATACCATTAGGTTATGGTGTTGGTGAAGTATACTGAAATTACCGTGGGCTGCCAGAAGGAACAAATCTGTCCTGGGAGAAGCACAGCCAGAATGCACCTTAGAAGCCAGCATGGTGAGACCAGGCAGTGTTTTGTTCTGTTGTGCATAGAGTCACAGTAAGAACCAACTTGACAGTACTTAACAATCTTTATGACAGCAGATTAACTGGTCCTCCTGTGGAGCCCATGGGTTGTTCCAGCCACCAACGTTTTGGTTAGCAAGCTGGTGCTTAATTCAGCATTGTGACATCAGAGTTCCTTTAGTTGTAATGTGGTGGTGGTGTGCGTAGTGTGCGTAGTGTGCGTAGCGTGCGTAGTGTGCTGTGGAGTCGGTTCCAACTCATAGCAACCCTGTATAGGGTTTCCGAGGCTGTAAATCTTTATGGGAGCAGAAAGCCTCATCTTTCTTCTGCAGAACAGCTAGTAGTTTCTAAATGCTGACCTTGAGGTTAGCAGCCCAACTCATAACCAGTATGCTACCAGAGCTCCTTTAGTTGTAATGTGGTGGTGGTGGTTATGTGCCGTGGAGTCGGAACCGACTCATAGCAACCCTGTTCAGGGTTTCCGAGGCTGTAAATCTTTACAGAACCAGAAAGCTTCATCTTTCTTCTGCAGAACGGCTGGTAGTTTCGAACTGCTGACCTTGAGGTTAGCAGCCCGACTCCTAACCACTACACTACGAGCTCCTTTAGTTGTAATGTAGAGATTACAATATCTGCCGTGCACAGTTGCTTTGAGGATAGTTGTTGTTGTTGTTAAGTGCCATGTAGTCAGAACCAACTCATAGCGACCCTGCACAGGGTTTCCGAGGCTGTAAATCTTTACGGGAGCAGAAAGCCTCATCTTTCTCCCGCGGAACAGCTGGTAGTTTTGAACTGCTGTCCCTGAGGTTTGCAGCCTGATTCGTAACCACTATGCTACCAGAGCTCCTTTTGAGGATAGAGGAGTCTGTAAAAAAAAAACAAAAAAAACCGCCCTGGTATTTAGAAGGGACTGGCCAGAAGATGGGATATATTTACAAGGAAAGAGTCGCTCTGCCAGCTCCAGGAAATTTGGGACTTGCCTGTAGATTTAGAGAGCAGCATCCCTCTTGGCTTGATACGGAGACTTCCTACCATAACAGATACCTGTATCTCTGGAATTCGGTACCAGCTGCTGTCAAATTGATCCCGACTCATAGCGACTCCTCATGTATGAGAGCAGAACTGTGCTCCACAGGGATTTCAAGGCTGTGACCTTTGGGAAGCGGATCTCCAGGCCTTTGTTCTGAGGTGCCTCTGGGTAGACTCAAAACCTCCACAGTTTTGCAGCTGAGTGCTTAACCACTTATACCACTTCTGGAATACTGTGTTGGTGGTGGTGGTAAATGTCATCAAGTGGATTTTGACTCATAGTAGCCCCACGTGACAGAGCAGAACTTCATTGATGTTGCCTACACATGGTCGCCAATCTCCCAAGGTGTGGTTAGCGGGTTTGAACCACCAACCTTTCACTTACCAGTCCAGTGCTTAGCCACTGTGCCACTAGGGCTCCTTAGAAGGTAACAGCATCCCTTTCAATTTGCTGGGATCTAAATTCGGGCTTCCAGCTCTAACATGAGCGGCTTGAAGCCATTGCCTGTTTATTTTCTTATTATGTGAAAAGTCTGTGTCCATTGTATTTCAGTTGGGACGACGTCATGGCTGTCCCAAGCTCTGGGAATGTGGGGTAGACAGGGGGCTTGGGGAGAGCCCACCTCCTCTCCTTCTCTGACTTAAACCTTGGGACTTTGAACAATTCTCTTGCTGGGCTTTGGGGTCAGAATGAGAGAGTGGAAAGTGAACAAATCTAATCAGAGAGCTGTCAGGAAAGAGGTGCTTCTCAGTCTGGGGTTCATCATTCTTCATCAGAATGTGTGTGTGCATATGTACCCACATATGTGTATGGGTGTATGAATGTACGTGTTTGAGTCCATGTGTGTGTGTACTGAGTGTGTACACATGAATGCACGTACGTGTGTGCATGTGCACGTGTGGGCATGGGTGTGTACATGTGAGTGCATGTAGGGTGAATGCCTACATGCGTGTATGTGTGTGAGTATACATGCCTTGTCACACACCAACACAACAGAGTGTTCGACTCAAGTCCCATGGTCTTCACCTACCACAAAGTGTGGGGTCTGCTGACAGGCTAGAAGACCTATTCTATGAGTCTGTTGACAGACACAGAGATGATGCTGCCTTATCAAAATAACCCTGGACCGTATGTCCATTCAGTTCTTCCTGGAAGTACTCTGCTTCATCACGTCTCAGATTGGCAAACTAATAGTCTTCATTACCCACCTCCAGCCCCCACCATTCCCTGCCTACACCACCCTCTCGATCCCCATCACAGGCAGAGAACCAGGAGCCAACACTTGAACAGACAAAGCGATCTTGGGTTGGTTCCTCCAAGTTTTCTTCTCAGAGCCTCCCTCCAAGCTACGACCTTAAAAAATGTTGCTCGGTCTGCAGCTGGTGCCAGCTGTGGAGCCTGGTTGTGTTTGGTGGATATATATCTCCATGGTGCAGGCACAGATGGATGGGCTGAGACCCGGGCAGTGACCGCATATGGCATACTCCCAGCCCAGCCTGAGTGGAACTCAAACAGCTGTTACCTCTGTTCATTCTTGGATAATTCCAATGACTCACCTTCCACAAAAGACAGGAGAAGGAAGTTGGAAGACAGGTAAAATTGTGCAGCACATGCAAAAGCCAACCCAAGCAGTGGACACTCACTAGGACCCATGGCATTTTTCAAAAATTACTACACGAGATAGTACCATTTCACATGTTCTTCCAGAACCTTCCTACACCCTCATTCAGAGGTGGAACCTATGCCTCATCCAACCTGAGTGCAGCTTTGGGACTTCTTCCTCCTTCACTGAGCACAACAGGTTGACAACACATAACTTATGAAACTAAGGTCCCCAGGCAATCCAACTCTTCATCTGTGAGTGCTTACCTTGGGAACTGCCAGGTTGTACGGGAGCATAAGCCATATAAAGGGGCTCACATGGAGAGATACTGAGACTTCCAGCCACCAGATGGACCAACGTGGCCACCCTGTGAGTGGAGCTATGTTGAAGGTACATCTCCCTACCCTCAAGGGAGTTCCAGTGATGGTTTGTGTCTGAAAGTGACTATGTTTTGGGTGGTTGGCTGGAACACTGGCCTGCTGGTACCTGTCACTTTACTGTGCTCTGATAATACCCTTCCTTGGTTCATTTCTACAAAACCTTGCTCTTTGTCATCTCCCCTCACTCCATCATGGTTACCACTTGGGTAACTGCAATGCTGCTCGCTCCAAGACTACGCAGAAGAGAACCATGGACCCAAGGTAACGAGCCACATCTTGGCGTCTCTAGATCCACCCACCTCCATTTGCTTTCCACGATCGCTGGGACTTGTGTCTCTCGATGGTGTTAGGACAATGTGAGGAAGTCCTGGTGGTGCACTGGAGTAAGCTTTGATCTGCTAACTGAAAGGTCGGCGGTTCAATCCTACCAGCCACTCTGTGGGAGAAAGATGTGGCAGTCTGCTTCCATAAAGATGACAGCCTTGTCCCCCCTGGGACTGTCCCCTCTGTCCTCTAGAGTCACTCTAGAGTTGAATTGACAGCAGTCGGGTTTGTGAGCTTTTTATGTAAGGAATCTCTAACTTTACATTTTATTTTTTATGGTTTTTCTTAAAGAGAGTCCCCCAGATTGTACAAACTACCTCTACAGGTATCAATTGTCCCTGTTCTTGCCTCTTTCCAGAAAAGAAGCCAAACTGTCTCCATGACCCCACCCTCATCATGCCACAGGAATTCCAATGGGCCTGCAGGTGGCTGGCGGGCTGAGCTCCGGGCACTGGGGTGGACCTTGCAGAGCTGGATGAAGACCATCTGAGGATGCAGCTCCACCAACTTCTTGCTAAAACGGGTCCCGAGTGTCAGGGGTTCTACAGGGCCCTTGTCACTGACCTGCGATTATCGGCCAGCATCGGGGGTCCTGGTCCCTCCTTGGACTCACCAGTCTAAGTTTCCTCCTGCCTCTAGTGACAAGGGGGGGACTCTGCCTTGGCAAACCTCCGTGAGCCCAGCTTCCTCCTCCAGGAGGACAGAGTGTCCCCCAGGGCCTTCCGCAGCCCTGCGCCATCCTGGGCACTAGGCAGGACCTGCCGAGTGGCCGGCAGCTGCCCGGTGAACAGCTCCCAGGGGGTCAGTGCATCCACAGCCTCGTCCAGTCGCGCCAGCTCCACCTCAGACACATCCCTCTCCAGAGTATGGATGCAGGCCGCTAGCCAGAGTCTCTGTTCCCGGAGAGTCCCCTCAGGCTCAGCAGGGCCCCTGGGCAATGGTGGCAGCTGGCCCTCCAGGTCCTCTGGAGGCTCCAGCTCAGGGTCTCCACCATCGGGAGTCAGAGGCTCTGACAGGCTGGTGAGTGCCTCTGAGTCGTTCTCACTGCCCAGCCCTGAGTCTGCGCTGAGGGGCAGGGTTTCCTCTGACCCTGAGTGCTCGGCCGCCTGCCAGCTGGGCCAGGTCCCTGCCACAGCCTGGGTCCAGGCATAGAGTCCCTGAAAGACAGGACACAAGCTGAGACATGGACTCCCAGTCTGCTGAGCTACCCAAGGTCCACCCCGTCACTGAAAGGGACCCCAGTGTCCTCAGCCACCAAGAGCCAACCATCAGGCAACTTGTGAGGACTGGAGTTTACAATGAGCTGAAGCTGGCCCCTAATGGCTCATAAGAGCTCATGGTGCCCAGACATGACCCTCAGGGGAGGTAGAGCCTCGCCATTAGGCAGAGTACTGTGGACGGTGCAAACAACAAACGTGCTCAGAATGGTGATCTACTGCCAAAAAGTCAGCCACTGAAAATCATATAGACACAGTTTACTCTGCCCCACGGCGAGGTGGCCAGGGGTGGTATCTGCTCAACAGTAATGGGTTTGGTTGTTAAATGCTGTCGAGTCGGTTCCTACCAATAGCAACCCTGTATAGGGTGTCCAAGGAGCAACTGGTGAGTTTGAACTGCCGACCTTGTGGTCAAACCGACCTTGCTTATCCTACAGTGCCAGGTACACCTCACCAATTCACGGCTTACATGTGTGTCTGGGTGCCTGTGTGTGTGTGAGTGTGTGTGTGTATGAAAGAGGGGGAATGAAAAGTAATAGTTGCCAAACTTCATGTTAGAATTAGTAGAGCAAGGCTCCAGGTAAAGGTCACGGAAGGAGAAATCTGCTTTGCAAACCAGAGTCAGCCTTCAGCTCACGTCACACAGCAACCAGAGAAAGATGATACCCCAACATCAACTGCTCACGAACCCTTACCACACGCTTGACCCTACACTTACAACAGTACTGCCAGAGGTTCGAAACTGGGCACGGTGGGCACTAGGGCTGTAGCCTTCTATCTGACTTGTTCAATTCTCTGACCAACTCTCAAGACTAAACTTTCTATGCAGTTTTTCTGTAAACTTCAAACTGCCCTGACAAATGCTGTTGCTATGTGTAGTCAAGTAGGTTCTGATTCATAGCGAGCACATGTGACAAGCAGAACAGTCCCATAGGGTTTCCTAGGCTGTCGTCTTTACAGAAGCGGCTCAGCAGGTCTCTCAGAGCCACTGGGTGGGTTCAAACCACCAGCCTTTTCGTTAGCAACTGAGCTCTTAGCTCCTGTGCCACCAGGTTCCTTGCTTTAAAAACATAGTCTACCCCCCAAAAAAGCTAAAGAGGATAGAGAGAAACTCTGTTAACTGATGGTATGTGCAGGGAATTATAATAAATGTAGTGAAACAAGGTATATGAATGTTTGAATGTGAAACCGATGATGTGCCCTGAAAACTTTCACTCAATCCACAATAAAAACCTTAAAAAAAAACATAGTCTATCTAAAAAATGTAAACCAAAGCAACTCGGTTGGATAGCCTTGTGCCTTTATTCCAGTGAAAACCCCTTAACAAGATCTATTCATCCAAAGATGGGTTTAAAGAAAACACACCATTTGCCTTTAAACTCTGACCTCAAGGTAAAGTTTCTGAGTTTGTAAACAACATGAACAAGTTTTTTCTTTCTGCACCATGGGTACCGGGGTGGGGGTGGAGGTGGGAGTGAAGCCAAGCAATTCCCTATGAGGACAGCAGAGGGCAACATAGCCACACTGCTCAGCCCCAGGACCCTGGCTCTGTTGTAGCAAAACCAGACTCCTGTAGGTCTAAGGTAAGTTTCCTGGCACAGGTATTCTTGTCTCTGTGAACGCTGTGTGGAAAGAGGAGAGCAAGCTGGAATGCTGAACAGCACTGCACTGTGAGACCCAGTATGAACACATACAAGCTCAGTGTCCATGACAACATCCAGCTCGTGGTACATAAATACAGGCCAAGTACTGCAAGGTCGGCAGTTCAAACTCACCATTGGCTCCTCAGAAACCCTATACAAAGTCGCTATGGGTCCGGATTGACTCAATGGCACTTCACAACAACAAGGGCACTAGGACTCACAAATTTACAAAGAATAAACATTTGTTTCCTCTGCTTCTCTTATCACAGTAGACATGATCTAGCCAGGGCTCAAGAGTGCTCCCCACCTGCCCCCATCCCTGCCACCAGAGCAAAGCGACTCACGTTGCACCCATAAAATCACCTTATACCTGTCCACTCACCTTGTACCTGTCGAGGATCCGGAAGCCCAGAAGGTGTTGCAGTTTCCGTAGGCATATGGGACACAGGTCGGGGGGCCGCTGCAGTGCCTCGTCCAGGCTGAGTGCACCCTGCATTATGCAGCCCAGCCAGCGGCAGCTCCCCAGGCCCAGGAGATGGCATAGCTCATGGCTCGTGATCTGGAAGAGACAACCTTGCAGTTTTGACCCTAATCCCTGGAACCCATCCTGGAGACACTTGAAGCCTGGGAGATGAACAGGCCAATCCAAGAAACGAGGAGGTGTGTGTCTGAGCGCCACCCCCAGCCCAGCACCTGGCTGCCCAGGTTGCCAAGGACAATGTCTGTTGCATGGCTAACCCCACTGGACACTCACTCTGGGTAGATAGGTGAGTTGTGTGGTTTGCTCTGGGAAACTGAACAGGCTTTGGGGTCAGACACTTGCAAGTTTGGACCCCAGCTCTGCCAATCAACTCTGCATAGCCTTGGGCATAGGACTTTGCAGCTCTGTGCCTCAGTTTCCCCAGTCATGGGATGTAGAATGCCTGACATACCAACTGTTTCCTCCATCTGATTCTTCATCCTTAACAACTTCCCTTAGCTCAGCAAAGCCCCAGTCCTTTCTCCATTTCTTGCCCCTTAACTTCTTCAATTATGGTCTGCAAAGCAGCTGCCTCTCTCTGCTCCTCCCACTGCCGCCAGCCATGCTCACCTTGCAGCTCTGGACCATCCCCAGGGAGCTGAAGCTCAGTGTGCGGTGCCTATCTGGTCCGGGAACTGCAGGATTATATACAGCTGCCTCAGGGACAGGGTCAGAGGTGCCAGGCTCCCCCTGCAGGAACTCCTCAGAGAATCGGGCAAAGCTGCAGACACCCACCTCTGGGGACAAGCAGAGGGAGGGAGCCAAGGTCAAAACCGCCCTTTTCCCTCCTCCCAGAGATGTCCCGCCCCCACCCACCCACACCCACCCTCCCGCCCGGGACAGCCATTGCCCACAAGGAGATGGAACTTGGGGCTCGCAGTTCAGAATGTTGTCCCTCACAAGTGCATGGTTCCCCTGGAGCAGAGGTGTAGCCGAGGGGGTAGGGCTGTGCCTTCTCACCGTGCCCAGGGAGAAAGTGGCTGAAGGAGAAACTCCAGCTCTCTCTGGGGTACAGATCGGACAGCGTGAGGCCCAGCACACAAAGTGCATCTTCCGGCTTGTGGCTCTTCAGGAAGGAGAGGATGCCATCTGGGGACACAGATTGGGGGAAGACTGGGGAGGGGGAGCTTCCAGCCCCAGCCTTCCCACTGCCACCACCACCGCTAACTCCGTCTGACTGTCTCGCTTTCCACACTCCAGGTAAACTCATCCTGTAACACCCCTCTTTCTCTGCCAGACCAGCCCCTTACACATGTCTGAGCAGTGACGTTCTGCAGGAGATGGACAAGCCTCAGCAACACCAGGTGGAGCATGTGCCTGGGCTTCCAGCAGGATTCGAGCTCGTAGTTTTCTCAGTTGTACATGGAAGCATGCTAGTAACTCCTGCCTCAGAGGGTGGTGGTGAAGATACAGTGAGACAAAGACCACAACACTCTCAACACCATGCCTGCCTACAGGGAGGCACTCCATTGATGACTACATCCAGCAAACACCTGTGGGGCATCCTCAACATGCCCAACAAACACTTACATAGCATTTTCAGCAAACACTGGTGGAGTCCCTTTAGCATGCCAACAAACACTTGTGTAGCACTTTCAGCATATACACAGAAAACACTTGAGAGCAACTTCCACACACCAGCACACGCTAGTTGAGTACCTTCAGCTTGCCCGACAAACACCTGTAGAGCATCATCCATGTATCTTAGTAAGTAATACTTACTAAGCACCTTCAACATGCCAACAAATGATTATTAAGCATATGTCCAGCATATCATGAGTCCTGGTGGTGTCCTGAGAAAAAGCACTTGATGGCTAACCATGAAGCTGGTAGTTCAAACTCATCAGCTGCTCCTTAGAAGTCTTATACAGAGTTACTATGAATTGAAACTGACTCAATGACACTCGACAACAGCAACATATGTCCAAGAAACACTTATTGGTACCTTGAGCATGCTAACATTTATGAAGCACCTTTTGCACACCAGAAAGCTAGTTGAGTACCTTCAGTATGCGCAACACTTATCAAGTGCCTTCCACATGCCAGGCACTCTTCTAGGAACTATGTTGTAGCAGTGAACAAGGCAGACACACCACAGCCCTCAGGAATTAGCATTTTTAGCTGGGAGAGAGAGAAGATAGAAGTGAAAAGTGCAGGATGCTACATAGTAATGAATATGGTGGAGAAGGACAAGGCAGGGAGGAGGGAGCTGCAGGTGAAAAGGGTCTGGGTTGTCCTTTTAAATAAAGTGATAATGACATCTGAGCAAAGATCTGCCAGGTTGGAGAAACACACTATCTGAGAACCACATCACATGTCTGCTTAGGGAAGAATCTCCCACACCAGCTGAGAACCACGCCACACCTCTGTGTGGGGGAGACTGTCCCACACCATTCGAGAAACACAACACACCTCTCCTTGGGGAAGACTCTCCCAACAAAGAAGTCCTAAGGCTGGGTGCCTGGTCCATTAGAGGGGAATTGCAGGGGTCAGAATGTCATAAGGGTGAGCAAGGGGCAGAGGAGATGGACATGAGCTTGAAGGATGCCAAGAGGGGCCTCTTCTGAGCAAATGTCCTACACCAAAGTGAGTTAATCAATTTCAATGCTCCAGAGAATCAACCAGAGTGCATGGTGGGGTCAGATGGAGACCACTGCAACAAGCCAGGCAAGAAATGTGGTAGCAGGGCCCAGGTGTTGCTGTTGTTGGGTACCATTGAGCTAGTTCTGACTTATAGAAAAACACTGCCCAGTCCTACACCATCCTCACAACAATTTCCATGCTTGAGCCCAATGTTGCAGCCACTGTTTCAGTTTATCTTGTGGAGGGCTCCCTCTTTTTCATTGACCCTCCACTTTACCAAGCATGATGTTCTTCTCCAGGGATTGGTCCTTCCTAATGACATGTCCAAAGTATGTGAAAGAAATCTTGCCATCCATGCTGCAAAGGAACTGTATTTCTTTCTAGATAGATTTGCTTATTCTTCTGTGGTAGTCTATGGTGTATTCAATATTCACCAATCCTATAGTTCAAATGCATCGATTCATCTTCCATCTTCCTTATTCATTGCCTGGCTTTTGCATGCATATGAGGTGGCTGAAAATGCCCTGGCTTGAGTCAGGTACACCTAAGTCCTCAAAGTGACATCTTTGCTTCTTAGCATTTTAAACAGGTCTTTTGCATCAGATTTGTCCAATGCAAATTTGATTTTGTTTGGCTTCTTGACTGCTGTTTGATTATGGATCCAAGTAAAATGAAAACCTGATCAACATCAATTTCTCTCTTTATCCTGATGTTTCTTATTGGTCTAGTTTTGACGATTTTTGCTTTCTTTATGTTGAGGTGTAATCCAGACTGAAGTTTATAGTCTTTGATCTTCATCAGAAAGTGCTCCATGTCCTCTTTGCTCTCAGCAAACAAGGTTATGTCCGTTGCATGCTGTAGGTTGTTAGTGAGACTTCCTCCAGTACTGATGCTCTGTTCTTTTTCATAAAGTCTAGCTTCTTGGATTACTTACTCAACATATAGATTAAATAAGTATGATGAAAGAATACCACCCTGATGCACTCCTTTCCTGATTTTAAACCATGCAGTTTTCCCTTGTTCTGTTTGTGTAAAATAGCTCTTGGGGTGACCCATCTTCAGGACTAAGAGGAATCTTGGGGATAGCAGACTAGCATAACAAAAGGAGCTCAGGGGAGAGGAAGAGGCTAGTTTGACCAGATAGAAATTTAGAAAGACGAATACATCCATTAAGGAAATTGGGGAAGTTCATGGGGAGGGGGGGGGAAACTAACTTTAAATGAGAATGCTCCCAGTAAGGACTGGTAGGAAACGTTGGGGGCAGATTATGCACTCCAAAGTATCCATTAAAAGGGGAACTGGAGGAGGGGCTTTTTCCGTGACAGGGAATAAAACTGTTTATGAGCTGGCCATGCCTTGCATCTGCCTGTGTCTACTGGTTTGGGCACCTGATTTTGCAAAATCGAGTAAAGAAAACCTCACTCTCACTTAAGTGAGTATGTTGTTGTTGTTGTTAAGTGCCGTCGAGTCGGTTCCGACCCATAGCGACCCTGTACAGGGTTTCCGAGGGTGTAAATCCTTACGGGAGTAGAAAGCCTCATCTTTCTCCCGCGGAGTGAGTATAGATTGGATTAATTGAGCATTTGTCGGTATCAACAATGTTTCTCACACATTGAACAACTGCCTCTTGGTCTGTACAGGTTCTGCATGCATTTCCTTGGGGCTATAACTGCCTGCGGTATACAAATGGATGTTCTGACAAAGCTCCCTCCCTCTCAATCCTGCTTTCTTCTCATCACCTGATTTCTGGTGACAGAAGTCTCAAGCATTTCCTTGAAGTAAATCTCTATTTACACACAGATACACAGGAAAGTAAGTCAAACAACGTATTGCTACAAACTGGTGAAAATCCTTATTAAAGAAAAATATCAAAATGTGAAGCTGTTGATACTCAACATACCTTCCTTCTAGGTCTATACACTTCTGAAGGTAGAGTTCCCATCTCCCTAGCCTTCCCCAAAGAAGTCTGTGCTTTTCCATTTACAACATTTACATTTATATTTTCCATTTACAGCACATCACAATGACAGCCTTAAGGGACTCAAATGAACTTCTTTGAGTTTGAAGAACAAAAAGGAACCTGAAGGGATGAGATCAGGGCTGGATGGTAGATGGGGTTAGGTTCCCCAAAGAAATTTACAAAGGAAAAGAATGAGCCGGTGTATTGTTGGGATGGAAAACAATTCCTCATGAAACTTTTCTGGCCTTAGTCTCACTTATGCAATTTTCCCTTTTCTTAAAACTTCTTCCTAATAATGCCTGCCCCTGTGATATCCCCAATTCCTTTGGGAAAAAAATCTACTCAGATGACCCCTATTGCCATTGTTGTTAATTGTCATTGTGTCGATTTCAACTCATAATGATCCTGCATAGGGTTTCTGAGGAGCAGCTGGTGAGTTTGAACCACCGACCTTGTGGTTCAAATTGACCTTTCCGTGTAACACATTATCCTGCAAGGCCACACCAATATTCCTATGGAAACCAAAAAAAAAAAAAAAAAAAAAAACAGTCACCATAACCTTCTGAGATGAGCTCTCTGCCTTGAATTTCATTGGTCCAGCAGATCCCCTTGAAAATTACCGTTTTGATTAAAAAATCTTTTTTTTAAGTCACCCTAACACACTTTGTTTTTTGAAGGCATCCTAACAGCCTTTGGTATGGGTTGCACCTCAATGTAAAGAAAATAAAACTCCTCACTAGCGGACCAATAAACAGCATCCATTTAAATGGAGAAAGGATTGAAGTTGTCAAAGACTTCATGTTGCTCGGCTCAATCATCAACACTCATGGAAGCAGCAACCAAGAAATCAAATGACACATTGCGTTAGGTAAATCTGCTGCACAAGACCTCTTTAAAGTGTTCAAGAGCAAAGATACCAGTTTGAGGACTAAGGTGAGCCTGACCCAAGCCATGGTATTTTCAATAACCTCATATGCATGTGAAAGTTGGACAGTGAATAAGGAAGACTGTAGAATTGAAGCATTTGAGTTATGGTGTTGGAGGAGAATATTGAAAGTACCAGGGACTGCCAGAAGAACAAACCAATCTGTGTTAGAAGGAGTACAGCCAGAATGCTCCTTGGAAGCCAGTATGGCCAGACTTTGTCTCTCACATTTTGAACATATTATCAGGATGGACCAGTCCCTGAAGGATATGTTTGGTAAAATGGAGGGTCAGAGAAAGAGAGAAAGACTTCCCAATGAGATGGATTGGCACAGTAGCCACAACAGTGGGCTCAAGCATATTAGCAATTGTGAGGTTGGCACAGGACCGGGCTGTGTTTGTTCTGTTGTCCACAGGGTCATTATGAATCAGTACCAGCTCAACGGCACCTAACAACAACAACAAACATGTTTTCAGGAGGGACCGGTTTCTGGAGAAGGACATTATCTTGGCAAAGTGGAGAGATAGTGAAGACGAGGAATACCCCCAACAAGATAGATTGGCACAGTGGCAGCAGCAATGGGCTCAAGCATAGCAGCAATTTTGAGGATGCAGGACAGGGCAGTGTTTCGTTCTGTTGTCCACAGGGTCACTATGGGTTGGAACCGACTCCATGGCACCTAAGAACAACAAACTTTTTTTTTTTTTTTAATGCAGGAGAAAGATGAGAAGATGAGGTTTTCTGTAAAGGTTTAAATCCTATAAAGATTTCCAGCCTTGGAAACCCTATACAGCGTAAGTAGGAGTTGGAATCAACTTGACAGCACTCAATAACAACAATGACGCTAAAATAAGTGTATTCCTGGGAGAACTTGTCTGCAGCCATGTTTAGACACGTTTTGCGTGGAGTAAACCCCTGCAGGTATGAAGTGGGACCCTAGTAGTTACACTGCTAATACCCTCTTACTTCTCACTGATTTTACTAGTTTAAAGGAGCTCTGGTAGCATAGTGCCAACCTTAAGGTCAGCAGTTTGAAACTACCAGCTGTTCCGCGGGAGAAAGATGCGGCTTTCTGCTACCCTAAAGATTTACAGTCACGGAAATCCTGTACAGGGTCTCTATGAGTTGGAACCCACTCCGCGGCACATAACCACAACCAACCACCAGGGAACACAAACGAAGACAAGCCTCCTGAATTCCTTCTTCCCCGCCTCTCTATGTGAGGCCGACCCGCCCTGCCTTCCCCTGACGCACTCCCGGGCTCACGCACCTGCGTGGAACTGCAGCCGATCCGAGTCCCGCCTGGGGCGTGAAGGGCAATGGATCGCCGAGGCTGTTACCGAAGGAAGGCACTTGACCCTCAGGCCCAGAAAAAAGGCCTCGGTGTAGCTCCGAACACTTTCCAGCAGGGGGCGTCCTACCGAGCCCTCACTCAGATCTGTGGACCGAGCAGAGCAGCACTCTTGGCCAGCTGCATCTTCCGCACCTACCCACCCACCCACAGAGCCCACCGCCTCCCCAAGACCTTCATTTTGGGGCTGGGAGAACAAGACCGACGTGGACCTGCCTACCCAAAAGGCAGACACCTACAAACATTTTCTTACAAGGGCAGAACAAAAAGAAAGAGCAGCCCATACCCAGATGAAGGGATAAATTAACTGCGGATCATCCCCAGCTTAGATGTATTTGAGTTTTGACAAATGGCACTTATAAAAATCCATTGGGTTTTTTGTAGTAATGGAAGCCTCATCCTTCCCCACCTAACTTGGTCATGCTGCTGTCTCCGCCCCTTGGTCCATGCTTGGGACCTCATGCTTATAGCTCCAGGTGCCCCTGGAAGCCTAGGCTATTGCAGCTCAGAGAGACCTGAGTTCAAATCCTGGCTTTTCCTCTTTCCACCAATTACAGCTCTGCGATGTGGCAGGTGGGACCACAGTTCCCAGCCTGTTTCCTCAGCTGTACAACAGGCTGGTCGCAGCCCCAATACCCCACCTAGGTTTCAGTACATGATGCCAGAAAGTGGGTGTGTGGAGGACTTAGTGTCATGCTAGGCCTTTCTACCACTGGTCCTGGGTCCCAGACACACTCAGGGCTACCTTCCCCCAAGTCCCCTCCAGCAGGGGGTGGGGCATGCTGACCCTGAGGGCATCCAGTGTTGCTGCCCCAGCCCCACCTGGTACCTATGGGTTGCAGGTAGATGTGCTTCCGGCCTGGGCTTTGCTTCCGACCCAGCAGGGACTGATAGAAATCCTGGAAGGCCTCGGGGGCCTCTGGGCGGCTCAGGAGCCAGTCGGAGGCTGTTCGGATCCGCAGAGAGTAGAAGAGTGTCCCCTGAGGGTTATAGGCCTCGGCTAGGAAGAGCCGCTCTGCCGGGGAGAAAGCTGTGGTGTACAGCTGCCTCAGGGCCACATCGGTGGACAGCAGCGCATCCTTCAGGGCACGAGGGCCAAAGCTGAATTCTTGAGCGGGCCTACACTGTAGCATGGCCACTCCCGGGAACCCATGTGCTGTCCATGAGCTGCCCTGGGCACAGCCACGGAGTCTTCCAGAACCTTCTCTGGGGTTGCTCTCCACAGCTAGAGACTGGGTGGTAGACCTGTGCAGCTGGACCTTGTCAGTAGCATCAAGGGGTAGTGTGGTCACCCGGAGGCCCATCGGCACCCTACAGCTGGGAAAGAGAAGGATACAGAAATACCAAGGTCAGCTTCCTCTCAGACCTCCCAGCCATCACTGCCTGGACCTGGAGTAGAGATGTAAGTTGTCAAGGATTTTATCTTTCAGGATCCACAATGAACACCCATGGAAACAGCAGTCAAGAACTCAAAGGATGTATTGCTATGGGCAAATCTGCCATAAGAGACCTCTTTAAAGTATTCAAAAGCAAAGATGTCACCTTGAGGTCTAAAGTACACCTGACCCAAACCCAGGTATCACATGCATGTGAAAGCTGGACAATAATAAGGAAGACCAGAGAAGAATTTGAATTGTTGGCTAAAAACAAACAAATCTGTCTTGGAAGAAGTATAGTCAGAATGACCATGTCATCAGGGAGGGCCAGTCCCTGGAGAAGGACATCATGCTTGGTAAAGTGGAGTCTTAGCAAAAGAGTGGAAGACCCCCAAGATGACACAGTGGCAGCAGCAATGGACACAAACCTCGCAATAATTGTGAGGATGGCCCAGAACTGAGCAGTGTTTCATTCTGTTGTGCATAAGGTTACTATGAGTCATAAAAGACCAGATGGTACACCTGCAGAAAGGAACCCTGGTGGCACAAAAGTTAAGCTCTTGGCTGATAGCCAAAAATTCAGCAGTAAGGAGCTCTGGTAGTATAGTGGTTACGAATCAGGCTGCGAACCTTAAGGTCAGCAGTTCAAAACTACCAGCTGTTCTGCGAATGAACGACGCTTTCTGCTCCTGTAAAGATTTACAGCCTCGGAAACCCTGTACACGGTCACTATAAGTCAGAACTGACTCCACGGCACATAACCACCACCACCACCACCACGAGCCCACTTAGCTGCTGCAGGATAGAAAGATATAGTAAATCTGCTGTTATAAAGATTGGTGTTAGGTGCTGTCGAGTTGGTTCTAACTCATAGTGACCCATGTACAACAGAACAAAAGCATGGCCTAGTCCTGCGCCATCCTTACAAATTGTCCGGTTTGAGCTCATTGTTGCAGCCCTGTGCCAATCCATCTCGTTGATTGCACACACTCCTCTCTCTGCACACACCCTTGCTGGCGTTTTTTGTTGTGTTTTGCCGAGTGGATTCTGACTCTTGCAGCCCCATGTGACAGAATCGAACTGCCCATAGGGTTATGCTGGCATCTTTGTGGGAACAGCCTGCCAGGTCTTTCTCCCAAGGAGTCACTAGATGAACTGCCAACCTTTCACTTAGCATGGTACCTCCAAACAAACAAACAACAACCACAAAACCCCAGTGCCATTAAATCGATCCCAACTCACAGTGGCCCTCTGAGTCTGTCAGGCTGTAAATGTTTATGGGAGTAGAAAACTTCCTGTTTCTCCCAAGGAGCAACAAGTGGGTTAGAACCACCAACCTTGCAGTCTGGGGTTCCTAAAAAGCTATAAATAAGGTACTGGCTTCTGGGCACCCAGGCTGCTGGGGGTTTCTACTTGATGTCTCATTTCTGAAAAGACAAGATGGCAAAGGGCAAGGGTCCAGCACAGGTGGGATGGATGGGGGCTCCCAGATTAGAAAGGGAGGAAATAAGAGGGAGGGAAGGGGAGAAAGCAAACCAGTCCCCCAGGACAAGAAGACACACAAATGATAGTGTGATAGTACGGGCGTCAGAAGCAGTTATACAGTCAAGCAAGCAGCCCAAGCAGTAAGTCCTGGGGTGCGCAGCCCTCATTTCTAGTGAGGAAAACAGAAACAACCTTGGTCTGGGGGAGAGGCAGGAAGTTAAGAGCCCCACACTCATTTTAAAATTGAGTTGCCATGGAGTTCATTCTGATTCACAGTGATCTTACGTGTGTCCAAACAGAATTATGCGCCAGGGAGTTGTCAGTGGCTGATTTTTTTTGGAAGTAGAACATCAGGTCTTTCATCTGAGGCACCTCCAAACCTCCAACCTTTGGGTCAGCAACTGAGTAGTGTATTCACAGCTTGCATTATCCAGGGGGTCCTATGCTAACAGATAGTAAGACCCACTGTTGTTAAAACTGGAAGGAGGGGAGCGAGGGAGCCCCAGGGAAGGGAACTGAGTAGAAGGGGCATAGCGTGATGGCTCCGCTGGAAACACATGTCCAGTGGATTCAAGGGACAGTGGGGGTGGCCAATATGGCTGGAGTGCAGTGAGAGGGAGAGAGGACCTGAGGGGTGAGGTCAGATCTAGACAGGGCCACCTCAGAGGTACCTGGGAGGTCACTTAAAGTCTTTGACCTTTACCCTGAGCGAGATGGTGAATATGCCAGCTTTGGGCAGGGGTGGCATGAGCTGTGTGTGTGCTGTATGCATGTGTGTGTGTTGTGCACATCTGTGTGCTTGTGTGTGCACTTGTGCACATGTGTGAGCACATGTGTTCACTTGTATGTGCACATGCATGTGTTGAGAGCCAGGGCCCTGGGTCAGGTGCCACAGGGTGTGGAGGCTGGACTATGAGTGCTTTGTCATCTAGCAGGGGGGCCAGGCACAGAGGGGCCCTTGAGTAGTCCTACCCTGAATGCCAGCCACGACTCTGGCATGAACTTGGCCCTCTGACCTCTCACCCGCCCTGTGCCTCAGTTTCTTCCCAGGTAACATGAGCATAGTGCCCCTGCCTACCTCCCTGAAAGCACAGATGGACTGGACAAGAGGGAGGCAGTGCTGGGCCCCCAGGTTCCAACGTACCACCCACTGAGACTGCGTGCATCTCACCAGTTTAGTCTGGATTCTGGATGCAGCGCTTGGGACCCATGCGAGGGCCCTCTGCTCTCCCCAGACCTTCCACACACAAACTCTGGCCCTGGTCACTCTCCTGAGAGAGCGTAGCAGCTGGTAGCTGTCCCCTCAGTGCTGTGACCACCTCTGAATTATTCTTTCTGTAACTGAGAGAAGCTACGAATTATTTTTCTGGAGCAGCAGAAAATCTGGTGCCATGGATTTTTAAAGGGAGTGGAAATGGGACTGACACCACAGTCACAAGTGGCTGGAACCAAGCCTGGTCCTTTCCCCCTCACATGCCCACCATCCTGTAAAGCCGCCAAGAGTACTTTAGGATCCAACACCTTGTCTGAACCCCACAACCACTCTGAGACGTGTTGTGATTGCAACGAGCTGCCATTGAATCAGCCCAACTCATGCGCCATCCCATAATCAGTTTCAATTAGACCATTGTGATGTACAGGGTTTTCACTGGCTGAGTTTTAGAAGTAGATCGCCAGGCCTTTCTTCCTAGTCTTTTGGAGTCTGGATGCTCCGCTGAAACCTGCTCAGCTTCACAGCAACACACAAGCCTCCACAGACAGACAGGCGGTGAGGTGCACTGGCTGGGAACTGAAACTCGGTCTTCCGTATTGTTGTTGTTTTTAGGTGCTGTCGAGTCAGCACCAGCTCATAACAATCTCATGAACAGCAGAACGAATTATGGGACATCCTCACGACTGTTATTATACTTGAGCCCATTGCTGCTGCTATTGTGCAATCCATCTTGCTGAGAGTCTTCCTCTTTTCCGCTGACCCTCCACTTTCCCTTACCATGCATGATGTCTTCCTCCAGGGATTGGTCCCTCCTGATAACATATCCTAAGTATGAGAGATGAAGTTTCACCATCCTGGCTTCCAAGGAGCATTCTGGTTGTGCTTCTTCCAACAAACACTTGTTTGTTCTTCTGGCTGTCCATGGTACTTTCAATATTCTTATCCAATACCAATAACTCAAATGCATCAATTCTATGGTCTTCCTTATCACTATCCAACTTTCTGCATGGAAGGTGGGAAGTCTACCACTGAGCCATCCTGAGACGCTGTTGTTAAGTGCCATCGAGTCAGTTCCAACTCATAGCGATCCTGTATAGGGTTTCCAAGGAACAGCTGGTGAGTTTGAACCACTGACCTTGTGGTTCAAACTGGCTTTTCAATCCAGTGCTTTATCATACAGCACCACTCCCAGGATATAGGCATCAGTATTAGCCCATCTTACAGCTGAGGAAACCGAGGCTCAGAGAGTGAAAGCAACCAGTCAAGAGTACACAGCTCAAGAGGACTCAGACACAGTGCCTCTCATTTGGCCCATCCCTTAAATCCTTAGTATCTTTCCTTCCAGCACCCTTACCATCCCACAGACCTTGGTGAGGGTTTTCCTGCCCGCAAACACCCCTCCAAAAACAAACCCACTGCTTTCAAGGCAATTCCAACTCAGCAGCTCTGTAGGACACAGTGAGTTGCCCCACAAGATTTCCAAGGCTATGAAACAGGAGTCCCTAACACCCAGACCCTGAAGAGGCAGAACTGTGACCCCCTAGTGACCCTTGTTCCCAGGTTATTTTGATCCCTGGCCAGGTATCCCAAGTGTTTTACACTCAACTCGTAGCCAAGTACACTGTAGGATAAGAACCAGACTGCTAACTGCAAGGTCAGCAGTTCAAACCCACCAGCCGATCCTCAGAAACTCTACACACAGTGGCTATGAATTGTGACCAACTCGATGGCACTTCACAACAATAACTAGCCTAAAGATTGTTGGTACAAACCCATCAATCCAGAGGTGCCGAGGAAGAAAGACGAGGTGATCTTCTGTAAACCTGATAATCTAGAAAACTTTGTGGTTCTTTCCTGTCACAAGGGGTCACTATGAGATGGAATCTAACAACAGCAACAATTTATCCAGGTTTACTGGTTTTTGAGCATAAACCAAGCAGAGAAACATTAAAAGCACAAGAATACAGAACACTCATTCCATAAACCCTCAGAGGGGCAGGCACCATCTCTCATCCTGAAACTTCCAGAAAACTCCACTGTACATTCACAAAAAAAAAGCAAAGTGGAATTGGCAGGCCACATCCTGGCAGGGTATTAAGATAGTTCTGACCTGGATTCCCTGCA